CGTCACTCAAAATTCGTACAAAAGCAGCCGCTTCGGTGGCTGGAACGACTAGGCCATCCTCTCGACGTCAGCCTCGCCGTAGCTTTGCTCGTCCCAAGACGACCTACGTCACGATTGCGTCGGATGTCACGTGCTCAAAGCTGGGCCTTCTCCGAGGGCTTGCTAGACTGGCCCTTTTATAACAAAAAATACAGCCACCGGGCTCAAAATACAAACGTGCGATTGTCATTTATGAATATTGTGGATCATATTCAACCTATTTTTGAACATGACGGATATATTTCCAATTTCGTTCAAGTATCCGGAAGCGGTCACTTACACGGCTGCAATCGCTAACGGCCACGGCGCTACGAGGAGAAAAACATCTGGACCAGATAAGGATGTGGCGTCACTAATTTGGTTTAAATATAATTGAGTCATAAATTCATCAATATTTATTGGTTAATTTTTTATATACTCTCAACAGAGATGGAACTGCTCGAGTTCAATTACCCTTAAACGAAAACAAAACCCAGAACTACGCTTTCTAGCAGACGTCATTGTTGCTTTGGCTGTATTGACGCCTCCATAGCCTCGACCATGGAGTGTTATCACCTGACTTGCTCCGACAGTCTTGTTGGATCGCGGGGGCCCCAGCCTTTACAATTTGCCACGTTATCATGAAACGGAGTAGTAACACAAAAAGAAGTGCGCCTAAAGTGGCACCACGACATGCTCTGAACGAACGAACATAGATACAAGAAAGGCAGGAACTGCATCACAACGTAGGTCCTCTCGCCCTATCATTGATTGAACATTCTCATCACCATTGTTGGTCCCCTGCTTCGTGTCTGTGTAGTAACTATGTTAAAATTCCTTTGCATTATCATGCACATTGAGCTAGTTTATCATTCTCACTAGTTTTTCGCAATGTGCGAATGTGCCAAGGTTTCCACGCACTCTGATTTACGCCTTGGGAGTTTTCTTGGCCACAATTGAGCATGTGGATTGGCCACTGTGCATAAACAAGACGCTGATGCCTAACAACTTCTATGTGACATGTCACAGCTATCACCTTGGCTGTAATGTAGATTAACGCAGGACTGCTCAATTTTTTTTTTTTTTCTGATACTCGCAACATTCTTTTTTACGTTGAAAGGCTTTTTTAAGTTTGTTTATTTAATTACTTTTTTGTCATTTATAATTACTCGTTTGATCCGGCCCTTGAGACTGCGACAGATCCTTAATCCGGCCCCTTAGCCACAAAGTTTGATGACATCGAAAATTCAGCACTACAGCTTTGTCATCTAGTACTAGATGTTGCTGTGCAGCACATCTCGTATTCCCCGTTCAGGTAAAAGAAAGCGCCATAGTTCTCTATTGGCTCAGAGCCCATGTCAAAGCCCGCATGAAAGTAGAGGCCGCCGCTAGCCACGATATGCCAACCTTTCTATAATCAGCATCCTCAATCCTTCCCGTAACTCTCTGCAATTAGTATACGGCCACACACTTTATATGGAAGCGCATAATTCGAGATAGAAACCTAGAAAATATTTTTTTTTTTTTTTTTTGTGTGTGTGTGGCTATATAACATGTGAATTTTCAATAAACATCAGTTGAGAGTGCGCCTTGTCCTGTTTCCCTTCGTCTATGTCCCTGTATTTTTTCGGCGCTTTTTGCTTGCTAGAATATGAAGTGTTTATTGCTTCCAGTGCATCTCTAGGCAATTGACGAAACGAAGACATAAAAATAAAGTGATTTTCCTAGCGAATGTTTGCATCCCTGACAGATTACCATAAAAGTCAAATAAGCAAAACAGGTGAAACACATCCAGACAGACTGACAGAAACACAAGACGCATTTCGTGTCAATCGGCTTTGTGCAAAAGTATTGAGGTACTTCTTTTTAGGAAGCAGAAATCTTATTAAACTGGGGACTACAAAGAGCACGAGCGAATTCGAGTTTTGCTCGTCTTTGTCACGATGGTGATTGCAGAGACAAATACCTCGCTTTTGCCGGCGTAGAATTCTCCTACTGAGAAGCTGCTCTTGTCTGCAAAGGGGTGGCAGAACGAGACGCCCGGCTCTTCAGATGGCTTGTCCTGCAAGAATCAGCGAGCATCTGCACCGCTGGCAGCATTCGGGTGCAAAGGGGATATGCGTTGCTTAAGGGGGGACACTACCCAACACACTAATGCACACTAGTAGAAGAATGCTTTGCAACCATTTTCTACGGAGTCATCCTACGTGTGAAAATAGGCAAGGCCGAAATGTCTGCCAGGAACATGTCTCGCTAAAAGATGGGCGCCTGGAATTTCACGGCATCAAACATACACCTCAGTCCGAGCAGCGACCTCCAGACAGCTGTACAAACCGGCTTACCTTAGCTGGCAGATTGTCCTTCTTCAAGCTCTCCCCCATGAATGTGGATGCAGTCCCTCTAGCGAGAAAGAAAGCCCCACCCGAGTTGCGGTCTGAGACACTCGTCCCAAACAATGGTACAGCTAGCAAGAGCAGGAGGAACTCTCTAGAGCGGCCGCGACGGCTTGTGGTTTGTGCACGCAGCAACGTGCTGCAAGCTTCTAAAAGAATGCCCATCTCGAGGGAAGGGGTGTGGAAAATGTCAAGTGGGCAGTGAAGCTAAGGACAATGCAACAATCAACAAGCGTGCTACGAGCACGTGTGACATGGGGACCTATACCACGGACTGATGGCATGCCAATCTTGCATTCTGAGGTTCAACGGCAGAGATCTCGGCACCACGTCGCGCGGCAGACCGAACCAAAGTAAAAGACAACTTTCAATGTGCCACCAAAAGAGATTCCCGATTCCCTCGCACACGTCCGCTTGTCTCTTGCTGCTGCCACCAACTTGGCAGTGCAGGCCGCGAACTGACTCCAGACATGTGCACATTTGAGTACACCCGGTTTCTTTTCATTATTTGCACAAATCTTTTTTGTCATAATTGAAAACAACTGGCTCAAGTATGAACCTGTAAATACTGAACCTTGGGATCTATAATTAAAGAAAGTATTTTTGAATTGTTTACTGGGTTTGTCATTATGACTTACGGCTGTGGCTGAGCAAAGAACTTTGGAAACTCGTACATGGCATCAAACGAGGGAAGAAGGTAGTGCGTTGTTGGCGACTAGCAAAACACCTGCACCTAATGAATCCACCCCCTAACACTGCACTGCTATAGTCTGTGAATCCACCAAGTTGTAAGGTAAAAGGGGTGGGAGAGGACGACGAGGCAAAGCCTCGAGAAGATGCGGCAGCACATGCCAGGAAGAAAGACTAGATGGAAACATTAACCATTTTTCTCGCAACATGCAATTCTGCATACTATGGTGTTGAGAATTATTTAAGTTTAGTGTTGGGAACTACTTTACGTACTACACTGTACTTCAAGTACCTAGGTTTAGAAAATATCTACTTTACCTGAAGTACATTTACTAAGTCTGTACTTGTACTTCTTTTATTATTTTTTTAAGTATTTTTGTTCCAGTAGTTTCCGAGGGAAGCACAACTCCCGACTTGAAAGTACATTCCCCAAATTTGGTCTCGGTGAAATTAAGTTGTTTTCAAGAACAATGCACTCCTGCCCTTGTTTTTCCCAGTAACGTCGAGCCCAACCTCCAACAAAAAAAGGGTGTATCGTCACGAAAAAACATGCAACGCCTTTCGAGACGTCATCCAGTCAGTTCTCCGAGTGAAGTAATGGTGATTATAAGATTGATATAAATAAGTGCCTTGTAAGTTGATTGTGTTAAACAGTTCGCCAGCCGCCAGCGAGATTAAAAAGAACTACTCTTAGGCCACTTGACTTTCTCCAAAATTCACCGCCATTTCTGAAACTAACTGATGCACCTGCAGTTACATTTGGGGCAAATGCATACCCGTTAAAAATAAAAGACTGTACAAAGAAATGAAAGTGCATCATGAAAGATTGAGTAGAAAGTACCTGTACTTTACTTCAAAAGTGCATTGTATTTATAGTACTTTACTTCAAGTACTCTATCTTCCAGGCTATAGTCCATACCCGGCGATAGTCTGCACGGGCCCATTTAGGCTGACAAAAACGTTTTTGCTTAGGCAGTCTGCACCTGGTACTTAGTCAACACGAAAACCTTCTCATACAAGGCACACCTTGAGAAATGTCTGCTTTCTTAGCTCACCAAGAAGCTTGTATTATACATAAATCCCTCCCTTTAACAAACTCTTTCATTAAAAAAATCTGTCACGTCTCATCATAATGAACAATCTTGAAAAACAAAATTCCTGTATAGTCCGCACAGCCTAAAATTTTGATTTTAAAATGTGCAGTTCGGGACTATTGTCCGGAAAATATAATACATTGCGCCCGGTGAACTTGCTACTTTACTTGAAGTACATACTAACCTCTCATTTACTCTGTACTTTACTTCAAGTACTTTTTAGGTGAAGTTTACCCAACACTGTGTCTACTGGGTTTATTGTTGCACCATGTGATTGGGTAAGTAGAGCACATTTATTGGTATTCGAGGCATGGCCAAGCGTTTTCCTCTAGGCTTACACCTGCTCCAGAGTTTTTCTCCATAAATAGTGCAACCCAGAAGGGCATCAAAATCATTGCTGGCCTCAAATATGAAAACAGCAACCTTCATAGGGTGGGCATTTCTAGGGAATTTCACGAGGCACAGTTGTACACGTAATGGAGGTGAACAAAACCTTGCTCCAAATGTGCACACACATGATGTTGATGCGGGACTAGTAGTGCAAACTTACAGGGCATCCTGGCTCCTCGTAATCTTGACAGTGCCGCAGTGGGTACCTAGGAGGATAGAATTCCAGATGAGATTGAATACTTTTATACAATAAATCCACTGATAAGAGAGGATGAGCCAGGCGTACTGACTCCTTACTAAAACGACGGACCTCGAGCTACCAGAACCCGCTCACTCATGTTAGGCCAGTCGCAACCTTGGCACGAGTGCCAAGCATGCGACTATCCTCAAAATATTACACCGCTGCTTTTTTTTTTTACATGAAATTTGTGTGTAAAGAGATGTGAGCTTTTTTCAGCACTGCAAGCCGGTGCAGTGGTTAAGCTTAAGAGAAAAGAAGGCATATTTCTCATCTCAAAGGGTGCAGGAAGAACAACAGCTCTTTATTGTTTCAGCCTTTGTTTGTGTAGATTAACTAATCAAGTGCTCCAGAATGAAGATGATTCAATACGAGACCTCTTCTGGCAAAATGTCTTCTTTAGTTTAAGAATAGACCAGTAGTTGCTTCAAAATCTATACGGCGATGTTTACTCGCAAAAGATAAACTTCACACGAATTCGACTTGTCCCAGAGAATGGCTCGGAGAACCTTTCAAAGTGACATATTGTCAAGCTTTCTTGGAATACTGCGCAAGAGTTGGCACTAATATATAAAATTGATGTTTTTTCCCCTTCTTATACAAACAAGGTATCGTCAAGGACCAAATTCTTTGCCCAAAGCATCTCGTTTGGAGTATTAAATGAACACCTTCCCCCACACTAGTAGGGCAGATGACACCCTTTAATTCCAAAAGAAAAGACAAGAAACCAGCTGTCGATCGGTCATAGCAACTGTGCCTGCTCCCTGCGTGAGCGCCGACACAAGGACCAATTTGAAAGTGCGATTGGAAAGTGAATACAGCGCCGAAAAGAGGGCGACAAAGGAACGTCAGCATACCCAGCTTCCGTTCAGACGTCCGAGAGCATCTGATGACAGCTGCCAGGCGCTGCTTGCTTTCTTCAAGCATCGTGGAAAGCTCAGCCTCAACCTGCTGCAGAAAAATCGCAAGAGCTGCACACTGTTTTTCTAGCTTCTTGTTCACTTCAGGGCGAAGGAAAACAAATTACGCCGTATTTCGATTCATCCCCGAAAGAGGGAGCTTTTAGCTTTTCGTAGTATTTTATCAATATTATAATTATTAAATCATCTTTTCTCGTTTGATACCAAATATAGCTAATAATCTTTTCCTGGTTAGATTCTTTCTTAATTTTTAATCTCCAGTCTGCTACCCTTTCCACTGAACTTTAGGTGTTCAATAGTGCCCACTATCCGTAGACAATATTGTTGCTGGTAACTTTGTACAGGGATTCGCCTTACAACGCTCAGTCATGACGCAAAAGACCGGATTCTAGGCAGATCAACAAAGCAATACTGCCGGAAATGGATTGATTCAGAATTTGTGAGTATGTCTGAATGCGAGGTTCCTGGGTACCTTGTCCACAGCCATCTTCTGCGCATGGCCAACAGGGCTGAGGAGGCTGGTGTCCAGGGTGTTGTCTGAATGAGGGACAACAACCGGCTGTCATAAGCACTGCTGTCCAAAAGCTGGCTAACTTGTGGCACCCAACAAAAGGGCTATCGTTGTGCAGCCCTGCCGCCAATCAACCGCAAAACAAAGCACGAGGCAGCGAGTCTGCAAGCGAGCTCTAACTTAATGGCAAACTCAAAAGTTTTCACCATGACATAGGTAACACAGAGAAGGGGTGTCCATCCCCATTTCTGTGTTACCTTCTTGATGGTGGATATTCTTACCAACACACTCGTTTTGTACCCTAAATTTCTGCTTTGGATTGTTGCATCGATGGAATTTGTGCGAGTTCTATTTCTCAGACTTAAAACTACATTCGGCCCGAGCGAGGATTTGGCCCGTATTAAAATGCAGGAAAAATATAAGTATTCTAAAATATCTTAATTTCAGCAAAAGCAAACACAAGCAAGTGCTCTAACACACAGTCATTGACATCAACAAGTCTTGACAGCGAGTCTAAGAATCTAGGGTGCTAACACTATGATTACCGTAAACGCAGTCAGAGTAGCACCTACCGTAAAATACTTCGCATCCGCCCATACCACACTAAGCGCCCATACCCAAATTTGTAAGGTCTGAGAGTATATGCACACTGCATTGATATGTAAAATTGATGACCGGACAAGCGCCCATCCCCCATTTTTTCGCGATTATCTCTAAATTTTGAGTGGGCGCTTGCCCGGTATTTTACGGTAGGCAAAAAATTGTGCCTCCGCCTCAGTGCGAGCATAGCAGAAACTATACTCAGTCTGCCCCTAAGCTGACAGTGAAATGGAGGCAAAGTTATCAATGGGCCAGTGATATGGCTACCTTTTGCTAAGTGAATAAGTTCAGGTAATGAAAGGGAGGTGTTTGATTGGTCCGGCAACTGTGTAGCTCCCATCACACTCTCAGCAGTGAACATAGCATACAAGAGCAAGTTCTGGGACTTTCTCGACGTTCATGCCGAACCCACACGCTCGTGCTCGAAGCCTCAGCTTCACTCGCGCATAAAGTGAAACAAACTACACGTACTGTGCATGGTGGTATGTTTAAAGCTTATTGCGCTACAACCAGGATGTCTATGTAACTGAATATCCAAATTTACTCCTACAGGATTTTTGTGGCCATCCTGTCAAAATTTCCTCCAGAGGTTCAGTACACAAAGCTATCTCAAGTGGCCAATGACGACGATAGTGGTACACCATACTTGCGACCAGTGACCTCACATGGGCTAAAAGCAATACTGAGGGCAACAAATATCTCTAGGCACACTACCTTATTCTCAAAATACACTAAATACATTTCTCTCCCTCTCCGGTTTTATATCGAGCCTGCACTGCAATTCATAATAATTTTTAACGTGTTAACAGTGACGCTGGAAGTATATTTTCAGTGGAGGGGGGTTGAAGCCAAGTTTTCTTTAGTGCTTGGTTCCATGGCTTGCACCTGGCATGGACGCACGGGACGAGCACCTGGTGTCTCCCCCTAAATGGTTTTATATAGTTTTATAAAAGGGCTCTGGCGCGCCCCGCCCCCGCTCCCGCTCCCTCCCCCTTTGATTCCGGCGTCACTGCGTGTCTATGACATTTCTTAAATTGGAATAAAACAAAGCTAACGTCAAGAGCAGCCCGGTCACCTGAGAAGACGGTGTCCGACAGGATCCCCAGGGAGGAGTTGCACGAGGGCCTGCCCTGCATGGGCACCGGCTGCGCATTCAGCCAGGACCTGCGCATGTTTGTGCGCTTGCATCAATCTCGTCTCTGATGCAACAGGAAAAAAACCTACCATATTTTCTAGTCCCCAAGTCTCACCGCGTATAACTCACACCTCCTCCAAACGACAGTTTCCACAAAAAAGTTGGTACATCAGTCGCACCTCTTTGAATGCAACATTTGGGTGAAGTGGCCATTGACCACTTCACCCGAACGCTGTGTCCGGCTGGGACCCGTGTTTTATCTGTGAGCTACCGATTGAGTCCCAGCCGAACGTTGATGCAGTGTCCCACTTTGGGCCTCGCGTTTCATCCAGGGAGACGGTGTGAAGAATTCAGTCCACGGACCTTGTGTTGGGTAAACACTAGCTGTGTGGCAAACTAACTGGACAAAGCACACCCTATATTTCAATCACCTTCCAAATAGCGCATATCTGCTTGTAGCTTTCAACTTGGTCAACCCTGGGACTCGTAACTGTTGACGGGGAAACATGTCAAGCGGGTGATGTTGTAGTGTTTATTAAAACAAGCCAATCAGTTTCTTTATCTCGAGGTTTGCGTGCAGCAAACTATACCGACCCTCTGCAAAAGCTGCATAGGATGTGGAGTGTCAATCTGTTGTAGGTAAAAATGCCACCTAGAAATCAAATACCGACAGATTAAAGACAAAAAGAGAACACTGCACAAAGGCTGGACTTTACAATGTCCAGCCACACCAAACACTCAGGGTGTGCCTCAAAAGCACCGGATCTTGAGAGAAAAGAAAGATGGTGCAAAGGCCTCACACATTTCCGGCAAAGACCCGAAGGAACTCCCAAAAGCTTCATAGAACTGGCCGACATTTCGTCGGTAAAACATTGTGTAGCAAACTGCTTGGTGCTCCACGTGAAATGTTCTGGTATCGCTTTGGAACGTTACTAAGCCCGACGCCTACGCTCGTGGCGCTCTTCATCAGTTAACGAGTGGCATATAAACTTGATGGCATTCCCTGGAATGAAGATACAGGCACTAGGAAGTGTCCAGAATTCCGTCCAGACGAAACGTTGACCACCACTAGAGTTTCGTCCAAACCCGGTGCGCTCATTGCCAGTGGCACCATCTAGGTGCGATTCCCTTGCGCACGTCACGCCGCCACCTGCCGTTGCCATGCTTTCTCCAGTCCAGTTTGTGTAGCGCCATTGGCACTGCCCTTGTGCCCCGTCCACGACAAGATGATGAAGTGTGACAGAATCGATTCCACAACACAAGCCGCAAGTACGCCGCCACTTGCATGCACCATGGAGGTTCACGCAAAGTTTGTGATGCCCCATCTGGACGGAACTTTAGTGGTGGTTATCGTCTGGACGGAACGCTAGCCACAGCCTTTAATTAGCACGATACTGAAACAAAATTCTAGCACCTATTTTACTGTCTAAATGTCAACCACATTCTGGCGACACCACGTCACTATGCGTTTAAGAGCAGCGCTGCTCCATAGAAGTTTGGTGGCAAGCTGCGCGTACGCGCAAGCCCTATTGAACTGAATTTTCGTTCTCACACGGCCTGCTCAAACCTTGCGGGAAGGGGGGGGGGGGGGGGGGGGGGGTAACCAAAAACGGCTAGGTTGTAACACGTTTATGACACCAGGCGGCAGAGCTGATAACCACACTGGTGCCCCCAAGCAGCTGTGCCAGTGCTGTATCAAGTGACGTCATTTGGTACAGCTCGCGTGATGCATAGCACTCTTCAATGGCTGATTTTAAGTGCTCGCTGGAGTCATTCCTTTGGAACGAAAAGTATAGTCATCCCTTCAAAATACGAGCATGCAAATGTCATTAGCAGATTGAGGTGATAATGTTTAACTTATTCCTGAACGTGAGGACGAGGTATATATTAGTTTCGATTCAGTATCCCTTTGAAACCAGGAGGTATCCCAGAACTTCCCACACTCACCTGAATCGGCCAATCAACATTGATCACGTGACCGTTCCTCCAGACAATCAGCGTCGAGCTTTGCAGTCGATTTTTTGGGCTTCACTCAAGCGCAAATGAGTTTTGTTTGCGGGCCGAGGCGACGAGCCAAAGAACGTTTCACATTACAAACTCCGGGGTTCATTGCGGCCGCCCCGCTGTTTCAGAGCCTCATATGAGCCCAAATGTGACATCAGAGATTAACTTGAGCGTCGCATCTGCTCTGCTACTGCGGGCCCCACCTAGAGGACAGACCAGTCGTCGTTCGCTGCTCTCAAACGACCCTGGCTTTTCCCGGGGCGCAAGATATTACGGGCTTGTTCCCCTCGGCTTGCAAACAAACTCTGAATGCAAAGTGATCTCCAGTGGCTGACCAGAGAGAGCAAGAAAGCAGCCGGCAGTTCAAATGCCGCTCAACGGCAACGCCATCGCGCCGTTGCGATTCGAAGCTGCTCACCTCGTTCGATCCTCCATCACCGTTGACGTGGCTTGGGGTGTTCTGTGCAGGTTATTCAACTGCGACAATGAGGTGTCGTCCAAAAAGTGCTTGGACGACATTCTCTTGAAGGAACGACGTCGAAAAGACGTCAAATTGCGCGGCAAACGTGACGAAAATGAAGGATCTGGATAGTGAAGCTGGTGAGGCTGCTAAGCCCGGATTGGATTGGATTGTTGTTTGCACTATGAAAACATAGATCACTAAAATGAAGGAAGGGAAATGTAATGGGCGGATGCGTGTGTCACCTGTAGTGCAACATTAACATTTTTTAATGTTTCATAAATACCGCATTAAATTCACAAATTTTCTAAATTTAAATTCTGTACGTACTATTAAAGTTCCTTTGTTTTGTTTATTAATCTTATTGACTCCTTATTTAATCCGATATATATTTGATATTTAGGCCACTTCCGGCCGCCATGACAGGAAACCGAGAACACTTCTGGTTCGGGTTATTGCTTAGGTGATGTTTCGTGTGTTCCTTCGCCAATTAAATCGGTCTTCTGTTATGATTTTCGCGTCCACTGGCCTCTTGAAGTGCTGTACTGTTTTGCAATTGACTGGGAAACTTTGCTGTGGCAGATATCCTCGAAATAGAAGGTGCAACGAGCCACGACTCCAGAACCGCCGAGCGCGGACAGTCTTCTTTACGCGCGCGTCGATTTTACGCTCGTACTAGGATCGCTTAATTTTGCAATCAAAGATGCACACATCCGACTGTTCTGGACAGCGAAGAAACTTGAACGAATCACACTCGAGTTCTAACACAAATAATGAACTGGATGAAATATTAATTCATATTCGCCTAAATATAACTGGGCGGTTTCATTTGGATTCCGGCAACGAGGTGCAGTCGTATTTCTTATTTTGCCTCAAATTTTTATATTTTGTGGTGCATCTTCCAAGAAGAACAATACTTTTTTTTTATTTTAATGTCCTGACATGTTTCTGAGAAAAACACAAACCTCAAAGATGCGGGAAAGAACGACGAGGTTTTGACGATTGTCGTGTGTGGCGTTTTTGAGTCGCTCTCAAGTATTCAAAACAGAGCGCGTCTATATTTTTTTTATTGCGATACACATGCAAGTAGGTAAAACGAAATTATAACTACTGTTTATAATTCGTCGCTCTAATCTTTGCAAAAGAAAAAAGAAAACACCAAACATGCTTTCGCGAGCAGCTGTGACCTAAATTACGTTTTTTTTTTTGTTTTTTTTTTTTTCTGAGTTGACTATGTTTAGAATAGCTTTTAAAATAATACCACGTGTAGAACCTTTCATTGCCTTCCAAACGAAGCAAAGCTTGTGCTTTTATCATGTACGAGTACTGGGAAGTATATCATAAAACAGAAAAGGTTTTCCCTTTTCGTTCAATTTCAGCAAGCTGTATAAAAAAAAAAAAAAATGATTTTTTTTTTTTTTTTTTTTTGCGTTGCACTCTTTTCACATTCTTTTTTTTTACCCAGAATACATTCCGTAGATGTATTTGCAGTAGTTTTGAGTTTTAAACCTCTAATAAACTAAAAAAAAAAAAAAGAAGGCCAGATGCTGTTGATGGTTTTTGACGATTGTCGTGTGTGGCCTTTTTGAACCACTCTCAGGATCAAAGTATTCAAAAGAGAGCTTCGATATTTTTATTGTTATATATATGCAAGTCTGTGAAACTACATTCCAACTACTGTTTATTATTCGCCGATCCACTCTTTGTCAAAATCCCCAAACATGCCTCCGCAAACAACTAACCAAAACGGCGTGTTTTTTCTTTTTTTTTTAGTCGATTTAGTTTAGTATTGCTTTAAAAAAATACGACGTGTAGAACCTTTCATTGCCTTCCAAATTAAGCAAAGTTTGTGCCTTTATCATGTACGAGTAGTGAGAAATAAATTATAAAACAAAATAAGGTTTTCACTTTTCTTTCAATTTCAGCACGCTATTTAAAAAAAAAAACAAAAAAAAAACATTTAAATTTTTTCCCTTTTGCGTTGCTTTCTCTTCGCACCTTTCTTTTACCCAGAATACATTCCGTTAGAGCTATTTGCACTGGTTTTGAGTTTTAAGCCTCTAAATATGCTAAAAAATTATTCTGTACTGTTATGTAATTCTCCATGTTTAACCAGCACGCTCCATTTCCATAAGAAAAATCTAGGTTTCTGATAGGAAACGTATTTTGCTATAATGTTTTACAATATTATATTTTGATATTTCTAACGCAGTATAGATTATGTAGCGCATAGGGTTTAGGCTTGGGCCTCTCCAATCATGGCAACGGCGGAAATTGTCTGAAAACCCGCTTTCGGCAGTTGAGACGTTTGGAATTGCGAACTTGTTATTATACGCCTAACGACATCAATGTCTTTTATATGAGTATTTATTGAACGTCCCTTAGATTATTATAATAAAGAATAAAATATACAGCTATAACCCATAAACCCACCATCAGCATTTGCTCTTTTTTAGCATACTTAAGACTGAAAACTACTGCCTATACTCTAACGGAATGTATGCTAAAAGGAGGGTGCAAAAAAAAAAAAAACGCAATTCGAGAAAAAAAAGTAAACGTTTTTTTTTTTTTGTTCTTTTTTTTTTTTTTATATACAGCATGTTGAAATCGAACAAAAAGTGAAAACCTTTTCTGTTTCATAATTTATTTCTCAGTACTCGTACGTGCTTAAGACACAAACCTTGCATAGTGTGGAAGGCAATGAAAGGTTCTACACGTGGTACTATTTTAAAAACAAAACTAAACATAGTCGACTCAAAAAAAAAAAAAAAGAAATTCGCAGTTTAGGTCACACTTGTTCGCGGAGGCATGTTTGGGGATTTTTACAAAGATTGGATCGACGAATAATAAATTGTAGTTATAATGTAGTTTTACCTATTTGCATATATATCGCACTAAGAAAATATAGACGCTCTCTTTTGAACACTTTGAGATTGACAGTGATTCAAAAACGCCACACACGACAATCGTCAATACCTCGTCATTCTTTCCCGCTTCTTTGAGATGTTTTTTCTCAAAAACTAAACATGTCAGGACATTAAAATAATTAAAAAAAAAAAAATCTTCTTGGAACGTGCGCCACAACATATAAAAAAATTGAAGCAAAATAAAAAAATGCGAGTGCACCTCGTTGCCTGTTTTCACAACACGGACTACTGACACAGACCAACTTGGTACTGCATAAAACATTTACTAATTTAAATATGAACGAGTTTTTTTTTTTTTTTTTGTACTTTTGAGCGGTATTTTTACTGACGTCAATTTTCGGGTGCATGCGAGTTTGTAAAGATCGGTTTACGTGAAAGTCTTGAACAAAGTCCAGCAGAAAACCCACGGACAAACTAAAAGCAAAGTTCCGAGGACACCTATAGAGCAACACGCGGCCCTGACGCCACGTAGCTGTGGTGGCGCTGTCGACGACACGGCGCATGAGCAGGCGCTTTACTTCACGCGAATTTGGTTTCTGCGCATGCGCAGTGCCCACACCTGGTGTGGGCAAACGCGGGCTTGTTTGTAAACGGCGCGTCGGGCTATAAGCACTTCTTATGAGTTGCGAATGCGAAAGCATGAATGTCGTTCTTCCGCTCCCTTAGTTCGTCTGCGGTGTACTCGGTGGAGGGCCACGTTTCGCTACCGCCGAGGTTGCGGCCGCCGACAATGTACAGAGTGTCACAAAAAAAAAAAAAAAATTACAGGGTTTGTTTTACCGCAAAAATAAACCAGGCATCGGCGAACGCTTATTCTCCGCCTAAAGGTAGCGCTAGAGGTCACAACGTTTCAGCCGATCGGATACCTTATTCAAAAGTTATGTGATTTTCTGAGAAGTTTAATGGGGAAATGGCGGCCGACGGAGTTTTCGGATACATGGGGCTCTATGGCACCAGAAACCGAAAACGTCCATAAATGGGCTCCTATTTCCTATTGAAATCTTCAGAAAATCTCTTATAACTTTTAAATAAGGTATCGGATCGGGCTGAAACTTTGGCATCTGGTTGTGACCTCTAGTGCTACCTTTGGGCGGAGAATGAGCGCTAAGCAAAGCGTAATTTAATCTTGCAATAAAAAAAAAAAAACTGTACTTTTTTTTTTGTGACACCTTGTAGATATTTTAGGCGGCGCCATGTTTCTCGGCACCGAGAGGAGCAGGGCTAACTGGCTTGAAACAGAGTCTCAGCTGACACTGGGGGAAAGAAAGCACTGCCAAAGCCTGCGCACAAGCTAAGCGGGAGGAGCCCTTGCTGCATCTCAAGACGCTCGTGCCCCAGCCTTTGCAGTGGTTTCTTTCACCGAGCCTCAGCTGATAGCCTGTTCTAGCAAGTCGGCCCTGAAGCGGCCGAACTGATATCACATTACCTTTTCTCAGAAAGTGACACACGTACACTTCTCATTCCTTAATTACTTTTAAAACAAAATAAAATTAACAATTTTTTTCTTTTTGGTTTCTTTTTTAGAGCAGAGACGACAGTTAGAAGGTTTCGCACGAATTGAAGCGAGAGAGACATAACGAAAGTCTTCTCGGCACTGGCATCACAATGGCCCCCGGCTGGCCGGCGTGTGGCCGCCCCCACTGATCTCTCAATACAAAGAAAGCAAAACAGAATAACGGGACACAGCAGGGACGGCGCCAGGATTTTCATAATGGAGGAGCAGTGGGGAGGCAAACCAAATTGGGGTGGGGGGGGGGGGGGGGGGGGTGCTTTTTCGGAGTTAATGATTATCAAAGGCTAAACCCAGTGCGCAGGCGAGCCACCAGCTCGCCTGCGCACTCACTGTTTATTTATGGGTATGGACATTGTTTAAAGCACACTTTATTTTATCTTTTTACACCTATTTACAGCCAAGTTTTCATACAATTTCGTTTTTAAAATATTTACCTGTATCTACAATTTTACACGCTACTATCCTCCGTTTCACCTTACGTCCAGACGCAGCGGACGCTGCGATCCATTCCAGCCAATCCCGCTCTGTGGACGTTTACCCCGTCATACGCTTTCCGCGCGTCGCTGCGCCCCCTCTCCAAGGTCACGTGATACTAACACAACCTTGGATTGGCTAAGATGGATCGTAGCATCCGCTGCGCTCGGACGTAAGGTGAAACGGTGTATAGTCCAAAGTTTAGTGCAGGTGAATCCGCCAGTTATGATGGGC